ATGTTTATGACTATATGCTCATGTTGACTACTATACATTTACAGTGACTTTTATATGTTTATGACTATATGCTCATGTTGACTACTATACATTTACAGTGACTTTTATATGTTTATGACTATATGCTCATGTTGACTACTATACATTTACAGTGACTGTTGCTTCTACACACCCAGAGTGACTATCAAACGGCGTGTGACTGCAATATACCAATGGTGTGTGCGTATCACAGTGACTTCTACATATTTTTATGAGTTTCTGACATATTCAAGGTGACTATATTCATGATGACTATCATATCTTAATAACGAATATAAAAATGATGAATATTGACATCGACCACTATTCATATTCATAACAGTTACTATATTATTTTGGTACATATGTATAATTTGCGTCAAGTGAATGTTAAATAGCCTTAATTACTAAGGTAAAATAACATATACATGTTATGAAAGGAAATACAATTACCGTATCTCTGTTGAGACAATATTACCTCGGTAACGTACGTTAATTACGTCTCTGGGGCATACGAGTTTTTCTGTATTCAATTTCCACGTAATTTAGTTAATAAATATATTGCAGTGGGTAGTACAATCGAAAGAAGCATTATTTAAGTGCATAAAATATTTAGAGTAATGGTTTCGTTTGCATTGAATTTCGCGCGAAACTACACGAGGACTATCTGAGTTAGCCGTCCCTAATTTAACAGTGCTAGACTAGAGGGAAGGCAGCTAGTCAACACCACCCACCGCCATTTCTTGGGATACTCTTTTACCAACGGACAGTCACAATATAACACCCCCCACGGCTGAAAGAGCGAGCATGTGACGGGGTTTTGAACCTGCGACCCTCAGATTGCGAGTCGAGCGACCTAATCACTAGGTCATGCGAGGCCTATTTAGAGTAATGAAAGTAATATACAGTATCTATTTTATTATTATTATTAATGGCGTCGTTGTCTGAAATTATGCTCTCTTTTCTTTTATGTTTGTTTTACCTGGATATTTTACCTGTTTCTGATAACACAAACCTTCTTAGATGTGATATATATTGTTACGTCTTCGTTTGTTAATTGATTTTCCGTAAATTCGTTCCGACGAAACTTTAGCGACACAAGTCCTTACTTAATAAAACTGGTTTATTCTTTCCGAATATAACTTTACCGATACACTCAACTTCAACAATCGTGCTAAAACAAACGCTATAACAACGAACGTGCTCAATAATACTCTCTGACTGCAGATCAATTACTCACTGTCTACACACACATTATTCCGTCACGTTGTGACCATCTTTTATATACCAGACTACCCTATATCTAGTAAATGCTAGGGCATTCACCAAGGTACAGGATAGTTCTAGAAACGTGGCGTGACACTAGTCATATGACCTCGCTGACGCAACAGTATATATATATATT